GACACATCATATAGTGTAATATGTCGTCCCCTCCTACAGCTTGGCAACCGAACCGACACCCAACAGCACCACATCGATAACGTCTGGTCGTATTCCAAGAATTGAAGAGGCTTTTCAGGACGGCTGTGGCAACGAACCCAGGGAGTTTGGTACCAAGAGTATGAAGTCGAATAAAGGCCCGATCAGCAAACTCCATGGGACATCTGGGGAACAATTTGGCAATACGCGGGTAGAGAATGGAGGGGATACACGGCATACTATTGGAAACATTCAACTGCTTTTGGATATAGGCTTGGACTTTATTGGCTGGTATGTCCCCTGGCTGAGGATGGATCCTATAAAATTCTTCATATACGGTCTTCATCTGCATGAAGATCGAGTGCCTAGTCATAATCTTATACCGCCAAGCCACACAGATCTCATCAGACGCTGCCCAGAGGTCAAGGAGTCTGGAGTAGAATAAAAAAACGCGTACTTCTCGTGGCTGCACGGATCATACAGGCTCGGGCATATGTCTCAAGACGCCGAGCTTCCACCTGATGGCCGAGCCAACGCAGGTTGAAGAGGGGCAGGGGCGGGAAGCTGTGCCTCGGGGAACATGTGAGCAGCTGGAGCCCGTCTTTTTCCACCTTCATAGCACGCAAGGGAGGAGTATGAACTTTGCGAAACATGAGAAACCACTGGTAAACCATATACATTATACGCTCCAATACTCGACGATAGCCCCAACCCCATAGACTTAATCCTCAAACACCTCTCCTTCAGCTTGGCGAGTACAGGGGCCCAAGACCTTTCAGATGCCTCAATCCCCACCCCCACGCCAAGATACCACCCGCACCTCGAGACAACAAATTGCCGAATCCTGATACCCGCTTCCTTGCAGAGATGGGTGGCCTGTGCGCATGTTTCCGCATCGGGAAAAAACTAGCTGGCATTTCTTCAAATTCAACATCAGACCAGTGGCGCACCCACTCTGCACAAGGATCTTGCACACCTTCGGGAGCACCCCAACAAGATCGGTGGCTGACGCGGCCATGTCGTCCGCGAACACGTTAAAAGTGACAGCCGCGCACAAAGAGACATGCTGCAGACGCCGAACGACTGGGTCGAAGCAGAGGCTAAATAAGAGACCACTTAGGGGGCAACCTTGTTTGATACCACGACACAACTGGATATAGACGGGCTCCGGGTTATTGAATTGAACAACCATACGACTATTACCATATAAAGCCATAATGCTAAGCACGATAAACACAGGAATGCCATATGCACGTAACACTGACCAAATGTATGTGTGGTTAATGCTGGGGAAGGCCGCTTTCAGGTCGAACAGGGCCGTGCCTGCGCGACGACAGTCGCATAGAGAGTGCGCAAGAAGCATCGACGCGCCCACCTCAATAATGTTGTCAATCATCTGCCTGTCTTTTAAAAAACCTTTTTGGGCACCCAGGACTTTGTCACTCGCAGCCTTGGAGAGCGCCCAACCAATGCTTGCACTCACAAGTTTGTTGTCCGTATTCGAAAGCGAAAGGGGCCGAGTTTCTTCAGCAGTGCGAGCGACGGTCTCACCCTCCAGCGCGGTGCCCTTCGGCAAGAAGGCAGCGGCGCTGTCGTTAAAGTTGGGCGGCAGGCGCTGGTGCTCAACTAGCTCGAGGTAGATAGAGTAAAGACATTCCAAACCAATATCACCATAGGCTTTCCAGGCGGAGTATGGGATACCATCGGGCCCAGGGCAAGAGTCATACTTTTGGTCCAGGATTTCCGCGAAGACAACCTCGGGGATGACCCAGGGGTAGATCGAACCAGAGTCAGAAACATATTGATGCTGGTCTTCTGGAATCGGTGTAACTTCAGCAGCCAGTGATCCAACCATCTCATCATTTACCTCACGGGCACTAAAGATGGCACTCCAGTGATCCGCCAGCAGCCTGGAGCACTCATTCGGATCGCTGTGGGCCATGCCGTCAGCATCCGTAACCTGCTGGAGAAAAATCTGGCGACCAGATTTCTTCCAGGCCTGGCCAAGACGGCGGACACGAGCAATTGCTTGCGCGGCACGGGCTCCACCGACGTCGCCATCCGCCTCTGCACGAGCAGAGACTTCTCGAGCACGAAGGTTCTGACGCATCAGGTCCGAAAAAAGCGAGTCGAAGCCTTGGCGGTCGGTCCACCGCATCTCCTGAGGGTCAAGATACCTGAAGAGATCAGGGAACCCCTTGAGGCCTTTGGAGATCTTACGGGAGCCCCCCCCCCGAGCCCCCCTAAGGACACACAACATACAAGCGAGTTTTTCCTCCACCGTGCGGGCCCCCTTTTCATAAACCCAGTCCTTGACGCGCTGCGAGACGTATCTCATAACTTCTTTGATTTCATTAAGCCTGACAGCCGGTATATCAGAGAGAGCCGCGGGATCCAATATTTCCTGAAGTTTAATACTGGATTGTGAATGCTTGCACACCCAGCTGGGAATACGCGTGCTGCCCGACGGGGACCACGCCGC